TAAAATATAATTAAATGAAATGAAAAGAAAAACAGGAAGGAACAAATAAAAAGATAAAATATTTGGATAAAAATTAAAAAAATCTATTGTTAAAAAATGGGGGAGGGGGTGAAGAAAAAATAATAATAATAAAAGAAAAACTGAGAGAGAAATGAGTATACCTATATAGGTGTTCATAACAGTGTTTAAATATATACCAGACCCCACACAAACTTATGAATCTCAATACATGTTAAGATATAAATACATAATACAAGATTAATATGCATCTATACTAACTTACCTCATAAAGGAAGATTCATTAGGATTTGATTAAGGGAAGAGTCTCAAGTGCTACCCGAGGGAAAGGGAAAAAACGCCCTGTTTGCCGCAGATTTTCCACAGACGCATTGACAGAGCGACCCGAGGCCGCCGGTTGCCGGAACAGACACCTCCTGGATTTCCACTATTTTCTATCCCTCTTTCTCTTTCTGGCTGTTGAAAACGTGTCGGTGAGAAGCTGAGGACGTGGGCTAGCACAATCAAAGATGACCTACCAGTACTATCGGGTCCACAAGTAGTTGTTGGTCTTCGACGATGGAATCGCGATTGGTTCGCCATTTCGTGTGACCTGGCTCAGGATCATATTTCTGTTTTCTACTAGTATGTTCCTTATGGAGTAGGGTAAATCTGTGTGTGTGTTTAAATGGGTTCTAATGGAGCTGTGATCAGATAGATGTAACGTAAGACGTCTGGATAAGCATGTGGTTGTGTAACCGATGTAATTATTTATGAGTCCGGTTTGTTCAGGAACACAGTTCCTTAAGGGGCATTTGAACTCATAGATAATGTTCGTTCTTTGTAATTTTGACTTAGTTGGTGTGTTGTTATTTTTGAGGATAAGGTTGGCTGTCTTAAATTTTTTATAATAGATAATAAATTTGATTTTTTTTATTCGGATCAATTGGAGTACTATATTTCTTTATAATATGCCTTACAGAAGATTCGTCTTGTTTGTAATTAATATGCATTTGGTTTTTGTAATAAATGCGTATGTGATTTTTGGCTGTGTGTTCGCGACCGTTATTACTTGCTTTGGTGAACAAGGCCACAATGTGCTAACCGTATTCGGAAATTAAAAACATCCCTATCACACACTAAGACATACACAGAACGCACACACTCAATTAAGCTGAAAAATCGAATCATCCTTGATAATGGCTAAAGGTACAGCCGAAAGCGCTCGGAAATATAAAACATTTGGATAGTTCTTACACACCCTTTGTCCAGAAAAGAGACCTCTTGTTAGAACACAAGAAAAATTGAATAAAAAGCTTAACGGTATTACCTTGTCTGCCGTTTTTAATGAAGCATTCATAAAGGAAGGATTGCTGCCTATATATATATATATATATATATATATATATATATATATATATAGAGAGAGAGAGAGAGAGAGAAGAGTAGATATAAGCAACGAAAAGGACACGACATTCTACACGTACATACATACGGTCAGGCGAGCGCATGCCCAGGCACACGAAACACACACACACACGTACAATAAATGAAAAACATCAACTTTGCACCAAGGAAAAGTGCGTATATAAAAGAAAAACGATAAATATAAACAGACAATTGCTGATATCCCCTGACGAGTGGACAGCGTGTTTGCTGAAGAGGCAGTCTACGAAACTGTAGAGTCTAAATGTTGAAGGCAACATTCATCAGCAAAGTAAGAAACATTATATGGGTATTATATATATATATATATATATATATATATATATATATATATATATATATTATATATGTGTGTGTGTGTGTGTAGTTTGTCTGACGATCGCAAATAGCGTGAAATCCAGGGTGACAAATTCACACCATTCCAACTAAATATGTTAGTTCTATCACTGATATTGAGCGCGTTCCAATAAGTACTGCGCATATATCATATATAAATAATATATATAAAAATTGCATATATATATATATATATATATATATATATATATATATATACGTATTTTATATATAGCGAGGAACAAATAGATAGATAGATAGATAATGAACAGATAGTAAGATAGACAGATATGTAGTCAAAATAGATAGATAATGAACATATGTAAGCAAATATATGGATATAAATCCGACAGTATGAAAGAAAAATACAGAAAAACAAAATTCTGAATAAAACAAAATTATTTAAGACCATCAATATGCATTATTAATTTTAAAATAAAGTCGACGTCGGACGTTTTATCTGGTCTATTAGACCATCATCATGGACATTGTTCATTATAAACAATTATGTTTAAATGAAAATGTCCATGATGATGGTCTTAAATAGACCGAAACGTCCGACGTCGACTTTATTTTAACATTATTTGAACATATTCAGAATTTTGTTTTTCTGTATTTTTTTTTTCATAATGAACATATATTTCCTATCTATTCTAAATCTGTTCATATTCTATCTATCTATCTATCTATCTATCTATCTATCTCTCTATCTATCTATCTATCTAAATGTCGGTTCATTATCAATACGTTCTCATTCTGTTTATACCGACTTATCTATACGTCTTTTCCTTATCCTTATCTATCTATCTATCTATCTATATATCTATATATATATATATTTAGTTTATGAAAAACTAGGTAATCCGTATGGGTAAACCTAAGGAGAATATAATCCATATATATATATATATATATATATATATATATATATATATATATATATATATATATATATATATATATATAGATAGATAGATAGATGATATAGATAGATAGATGAATAATAAGGAAAAGACATATAGATAGGTCGGTATAAACAGAGTGAAAACGTATTGATAAGAAACCGACATTTAAATAGAAAGATAGATATATAGATAGAAATGAACAGATTTAGAATAGATAGATAGGACATAATTGACAGACAATAAAAGCTTCCATATACTACTATAAACTGATATCAAAGTTTTGGAAAAATTATGAGTTAGCGTGGACAAAAGAAAACCATTTTTATTTTCCTGCGTATAGGTTAAAATTGAAAGTAGATATCTTGTCGACCAGAAAAAAAAAGTGCCATAACACACAGAAAATAAAATGTAAATCATATTATATCAAGTATCGTTTCTTCTGTGATAAAAAACCCTCATAAACTGCGAGGCTATTTTCCCGTAAGTACCAATTTTCGACATGCACTGATATAAACTCTTTTTCTACGCATAGCGTTCCTATAATATTTGCTAGAAATACTGCCAAAGAAAATGGCCGTCAAGTATAGCTTGCTAACCATTGATCTACATATTATTTCTCTTATCTGATTTTCCCTCGACAATTCTCCTCGCTCAATAAACCTTCCACTGATCAATCCAACAAAGATAACACCTATTTCTATCGGCTTCTTGTTCAACTCCTACTGACAACGACATCGCCTTTCTTCCTCTATAGAGGAGAACATGGCGACGGCTTAATCTCTCAGCAGAATCGTACGGTTCAAATTGCTATAAAGAAAACCTTGCTGGGTCACATGAGAATATTCCGCCTGATTTTAAATGAGTTTTGATGTTCTTGGAGACAGCAAATGTTTAGGCCTGGGTCTAAATCTATTTAAACTTGATCAAAATCCACCCCACATCTCCGTTTAAATGACGTCGCTTTTTGAGCCTCGCTTGGCAAATGATTTCCTTGCATGAATTACCAACCCCACAAATCATCCCATCTGACCTCGTGTCAAACTAATTAAAGAAGATTAAATATGAATCTGAAAAACGGCTTTGTATTCCTCCTGTCACGCTTTACCATTTTCTTTCGATACAAGTGGCAACGTCGGGAACGCGATCTTGACGCATGGGTAACCAGCGATCTTTATCGCCCTTGGCCAAGGTCGTTGTGTTCTGCGCTGCACCATCATCGTTAAATGTGCTGGGAAAACTTGCAGAAATTACCTGACTCCTCCTGTCATGCCCAACAGTCAAATCAGCACCAAAAATAGGAGTAAGGCTGCCATATCTGAGCTTCGGCTGCCATATCTGAGCTTCGGCTGCCATATCTGAGCTTCGGCTTCCCAATCCTCACTTTCCAGTCTGGACGGCGTTCGAAAACGTTTACGCAGCGGCGTAGTGGGGGGTATAGATTATTTTCCCACCCAACATGACCTTTCCTATAGACGCCCCGCCGCAAGCCATTCGCTACTCTATCGTTACTTCCATGGCAAAGGTTCCGATGATCGATGAAGATCGTCGGAACCTTTAGCCGAACCTGCTCAGACGACTTCGGCCAAGATACGCCTAGCTAAATTCACGAGATTGCATTAATCCCATACACATTCCTTTGTTAAGAATGGCATTCTACTCAGAAAACTTTTCCCCAACAACCACTGTCATGTGGCAGAGGCTCCTGCGTGGATTTTTCCCTCAACACAACAATCCTAATATCTTCAGATCACGAATCAATAGTTATCAATCCGCCATATCCTTTTATTTTAAACATCATACAAGAAACTACAGGTCCTTGAATATTTACATTAGTAAATAATAATAATAATAATAATTTCCCATCGGATTCTGTGCTTAGCGTTCAAGCGCAAGTGAAAGTTAAAATATCGACTGCTGATTTTTCTAGACACTTAGCTAAATAAATAGAAAAATGAAAATCGGTCAGACAATGAAAATCGAAAACAAGTAAACAAGATTCGTTTTGTGAAGGTCGGATTTGTGCTTATCCAGCCAGAAAAAGCAGGGTTCGAGCCCGGTTAAAAAAAAAAAAAAAAAAAAAATTGGATTTCGAATGCTGATTTTCAAGGAAAGTAGACAAGTCATTCCAACTTGGAAGACTGTTCACATACAATTTTTTTCAAACTTCAGGATCAATTCGCTTCCTATTGGACAGAAGACATAACAAGAAGACATGTTTTTCTTGAAGAATTCCAACCACAAACTCAAGACCAAAAAAAAAAATAAAAAAAAAAAAATATGATTCAAAGCTTAACTTTGTGGTCCAAAACTTAACATTCAATTTTTCTCGACAGGATCCAACTTCAATCAGTTGTGTGCCATGCATGATAAACACTTAGGCAATCATGTATCTTTGGATACATAACTGACGAGGTAGATATTTTGTCCCGCAGTAGGTTGCCATTTGCACGGTGGAACTCTTGCCAGCCAAGGCTATAGAATCCGGTCTGTCCTGATATTTATTATTCTGACCCAGTTATGGGGGTGGGGAGAAAAGAATTCATACCCTTTTCAAGGGTATTAGTGTTACAGTTTTTTGTGTATAGTATGTATATGACTAGTGAGTTAGTCAAAATGACTTAATTCCCTTTATAGTCTACCAATAGAAGATTAACCAATCAGGAGCCGCAGAACACTGTATCCGTCGTGTATAAAGGCGGCCATCTTTGTTTTTTGCCTACCGGAAGGACCAGAGCCAACTTGTCAGGCGAACACGACAGAAGGAAGAACTACACTCTGCTGTGATATCCACTGCGAACCTGCACTACGCTTTCCTACTGCCTCCGAAATATTCACTGCCAACCTCTGGATTCTATACTCGAAGACGATCGTCATGAAAATGTCTAACAATTAGCACTTAAGTGAATGTAATGGATTCGACTGGAATTGGAACACAGCTCTCCGAACATACCACTCGTCCATACATTGAATATTGCTGCCATAACTGGTCTGGTGTTCCGGCTATATATCTCAAGATTATAAACGCAATCCAACGAAGAATATGTAATACTACCGGTCCTTACATGGCATCTCGACTTCGGTGACATTTCCACTGCCATAACATGGCTTCCCTATAGTTTCTATATTTTCCCTGGCAATTGTTCTCATGAGCTCCCCTCGAACCCATGACTTTAAGCATTACGCTAGTTTGGCTATTAGGTCTCACCCTTAAACTAGAGAAATAGCTTCATTTTACCGTAAGTTCTATGCTAATAGTTTCTTTTCTCGCACTTCTCACCTGTATACCTCTCTTCCGGTGTTTTGCTTTCCTGCCATATATAATCTTTAAAATATTTAATGTCATGCCAATCGCCATCTTTTGTCTTCCTGACACCTGTTCTTTTTATTGTCGTTTACTTCCACTCTTTATCTTCTGTAACCTCTTGCGTCTTAGTGGCATTAACGCCTTGTTTGGGGCGAAATTATTAAAACAATATTAATCTCCAAAGAAGAGTCATCAAATATATATATATATATATATATATATATATATATATATATATTGGCAGCCTGTTTTTTTTAAGACTTGTCTCATTGAAAAATTTAGACAAGATTTGTCTACTTATTTTCAATAGGATCCTGTCATATTCCCGGACAAGCTTCTCTGTATCCTTATTAAAGGAAGAGAGAAAATTACCATGTTGCTACATATTAATTTATTCCGAGTACTTTCGACGTTAGCAGAATGTCCTCATTAGAGTGTTATTTTTCTAAAAGAAAACTGTTGTGTTTATCAGAAAGTTAATGTTTTAACTGTGAAGTGAAAAACGCTAACGTTATGTATTGTGCCGTTTAAATTTCACGAGTTTGAAATGTCATTATGTAAAAAAAAACAAATTATCTATTAGCTAAAAATCTAGATATTTTAAGCTATCTACTGTAAACATTTTAAAACAGGTGTGTGCAGTATTCATAATTAATTTTATTAAGGATACTGAGAAAATTGTCCGTGAACATGAGTGGATCCTATTGAAAATAAGTAGACAAAACTTGTGTAAATTATTCAATGAGACATGTCTTTATATATATATATATATATATATATATATATATATATATATATATATGAAATAAAGACGAATGCAACTGATCAGATACAGAAGCGATGGTAAGATAAACCGCTTCATGGCCAATACTCTGCCCGTACGTAGAAAACCCGTACTCATTAGTGGCCACGTAGTGCAGGGTTGAAAGCTGAAACTGAAGGTTTTATCCTTGCTGTACAGGACCAATGCTTGTTAACTAGGAATTATCAAGCACATATATTGTGTCAGCCCAAAATGCAGATTCTGTGATAAATATCCAGAAACGATTGATCATCTTGTATCAGGTTGTACGGTGTTGGCACCCACTGAATATAAAACCCGGCATGACAGAGTGGGCCAATATCTGCACTGGAAAATCTGCAACTTCTACGGGAAGGAAACTGAAAGAAAATGGTATGAACACCACCCAGACCCGGTTCCGGAGATAGGACCTGTTACAATTCTATGGGACTACACAATACACACTGGCAGAACAATCAAAGCCAACCGCCCATATATTGTTATTAAAGACCACAAACAAAAACGGTGCCTTCTTATTGATATGGCACTCCCTGCTGACTGCAATATATCTTTGAAGATATTCAAAAAGCTGTCAAAATGCAAGGACCTTGAAATAGAAATCTCGAAAATGTGGCATATGGGAACATCAACAATCCCTGTTGTAGTTGGAGCCCTAGGACTGGTTGGAAAAAATTGCAGTAGACTAATTGAAGTGATTCCTGGAAGTTCATGTCTCAAAGAGATACCAAAATTGTTCAGACAAGTATAGCCCACACTTTACGAAGGGCTTTATCTATGTAATTTTTTTTTTTGTCAGTGGAAAGTGTCATGATGCCATTTCTAAACTTATGTTCCTCGGCGGGAGCCGGAAAGAAATGTAAACACCAGAAAATCAAAGAAAATAATATAATAATAATAATAATAATAATAATAATAATAATAATAATAATAAAATATAAGAATAACCACAAAATAGAAATAGAAAAATCATTTGGTACCCCTTCCAATTCAACCAGATGGTTAGTAATAAGTTAGGACATATATTTTTGCTTTAATTGAAAACATTTTCCTAGAAATAATACACTTAGCAAAATTTTAATAAAAATACCCTAAACTTAAGTTATAGTTTTACTGAAAATTTAGAAAAAATTACAAAACAATATTAGAATAAAAATTTAAATAAATACTTAGGCCAGAATCAAAGAAATAGTGACCTACAAATAACAATAAATAATAGTAAAGAAAAATTATGTAACTGTAGAAATCCTGCAAATTGCCCATTGAATATTAAATGTCTCACAGAATCTATAGTTTACCAATGCAATACGTCATCTATTGAGAACCCTAATGATGAAAAAATTATATTGGGAGAACTAAAAATGGATTTAAATTAAGATGGAGCCAACATCTGTCTTCCTTCAATAATAATAAGTATCACAAGTATCAAACATCCCTAGCCAAATATTTTTGGAATTTAAGGGAAATATATAAAACTCCCACAGTAAAATGGAAACTAACAAAAGAATCGAGATCATGTAGATCTTTAAAATAAAGATTTATTAAATAAAAGAAATGAAATAACAATTTTTTGTAGACATTGTATCAGGTTGTACGGTGTTGGCACCCACTGAATATAAAATTTCTTTAAAAATAATTAATTATAAAAAAATTGCATAATTATATATCTATTAATTGATCAAAAATATGCAAATAAGAAAATGCGTAATTAAATTCTAATATTTGAATTTTCCAAAACTGTATATAGTTTATTAATAAATATAATAAAAATAGTATATTAGATCTTTATAAATAAAAATATAAATATAAAACATATGGCTTAATCATATTTGAAAACCCCTTTAAGAAAATCCCAATTTATTTTATAAAATATGGAAATAAATTAAAAAAAACGCCAATTGTATTCTTAAAAAAGAAACAGTCAGTGATGACACTTTATCATATAAGGAAGCCAGTATCAACAGACAAAAATTACAAACCCACACCTAACACTTAACCGATAATTACTTTGCAACATTAAATATTATTTGTATCGTGATTCGTCAAAAAAACCAACACCCCCTTAAAAATTTTGTAATTTAATTCCCCCCCCCAAAAAAAAAACTAAAAACAAAAAACTATATAATAGTATTTATTTTAGTCTTATTTGTCTTAGTGGCATTATCCCCTTGCTTGGGTGAAGGGATTAAATTAAATGAATAACATAAGCCCACGTCAAAGTGTCATGGATATGTCTCAGATAATGGGCGTCAGCATTTCAACAATATTGGGCTATTTCAAGAAAATTGGCAATGTAAAGAAAGGACGATAAATGGGTTCCACATGAACTCAGAGAAAGTCAGAGTTCGACGTTTAAATACATTCATTCAGGATTAAAAGTTGATTCTCAAATCGGACATTATTTTCCGGCTAACCTAATATCTATCTGTCTAGGTTTGTCCATATCTATCTATCTATCTATCTATCTATCTATCTATCTATCTATCTAATTCTGCTCATATCTATCTAATTCTGATCTGATCTATCTATCTATCTATCTATCTATCTATCTATCTATCTATTATCTATCTAATTCTGCTCATATCTATCTAATTCTCTTCAGATCTATCTATCTATCTATCTATCTATCTATCTATCTATCTATCTATCTAATTCTGTTCAGATCTATCTATCTATCTATCTATCTATCTATCTATCTATCTAATTCTGTTCAGATCTATCTATCTATCTATCTATCTATCTATCTATCTATCTATCTATCTATCTAATTCTGTTCAGATCTATCTATCTATCTAATCCTGCTCATATCTATCTAATTCTGTTCAGATCTATCTATCTATCTATCTATCTATCTATCTATCTATCTATCTATCTATCTATCTAATTTTGTTCAGATCTATCTATCTATCTATCTATCTATCTATCTATCTATCTATCTATCTAATTCTGTTCAGATCTATCTATCTATCTAATCCTGCTCATATCTATCTAATTCTGTTCAGATCTATTTATCTATCTATCTATCTATCTATCTATCTATCTATCTATCTAATTCTGCTCATATCTATCTAATTCTGTTCAGATCTATCTATCTATCTATCTATCTATCTATCTATCTATCTATCTATCTATCAGTTGCTCACTTACAGAGTGAAATGCAACATCATATAGATTCCCTGTTGACGTCATGGAGCGTAGTTGGTCTAAATATAAGTTAAGAAAAAGACCGTTGTAATGTCCCAACTTGATTTATGTGTATAGCCAATAATTGCATGTTTTGGAATAGCTCAGGTATTTAAGCTGTACTGTAAACACGACAAACACGCTGGATGATGAAATCTCCCTCGGAATCATGAGGGCCAGAAATGTTTTCGGAAAAAAAATGTATAGACTTCTATGGTCTAAGTATGGAATCAGGTGGAATGTATAGACTTCTATAGTCTGGTATGGAATGTATAGTCTTCTATGGAATGTATAGACTTCATGGTCTAAGTATGGAATCAGGTATGGAATGTATAGACTTCTATGGTCTAAGTATGGAATCTTCTATGGTCTAAGTATGGAAATGTATAGACTTCTATGGTCTAGTTATAAGTATGGAATCATGGTATGGAATGTATAGACTTCTATGGTCTAAGTATGGTCTAAGTAAGAATCAGGTATGGAATGTATGAACATGGTCTATGGAATGGTATGGAATGATAGAATTTCTATGGTCTAAATCTGGTATGGAATCAGGTATGGAATGTATATAGACTTCTATGGTCTAAGTATGGAATCTATGGTCTAAGTATGGAATCTGGTAATCAGGTCTATGGAATCAGGTATGGAATGTATAGACTTCTATGGTCTAATGGAATCATGGAATCATAGACTTCTATGGTCTAAAGTATGGAATCAGGTATGGAATGTATAGACTTCTATGGAATCAGGTATAATGTATAGACTTCTATGGTCTAAGTATGGAATCATGGAATGTATAGACTTCTATGGTCTAAGTATGGAATCAGGTATGGAATGTATAGACTTCATGGTTAAGTATGGAATGTATAGACTATGGTCTAAGTATGGAATCTCTGGAATGTATAGTTCTATGGTCTAAAATGGAATCAGGTATGGAATGTATAGACTTCTATGGTCTAAGTATGGAATCAGGTATGGAATGTATGGATGTATAGACTTCTATGGTCTAAGTATGGTCTAAGTATGGGAATGTATAATGATAGACTTCTATGGTCTAAGTATGGAATCTGGTATGGAATGTATAGTCTTCTATGGTCTAAGTATGGAATCAGGTATGGAATGTATAGATGGTCTAAGTATGGAATCTGGTATGGAATGTATAGACTTCTATGGTCTAAGTATGGAATCAGGTATGGAATGTATAGAATATGGTAGGAATCAGGTATGGAATGTATGAACTTCTATGGTCTAAGTATGGAATCAGGTATGGAATATATAGACTTATGGAATGTATGGTCTAAGTATGGGAATCATAGACTTCTATGGTATGGAATCATATATATAGACTTCTATGGTCTAAGTATGGAATCAGGTATGGAATGTATAGACTATGGAATCAGGTATGGAATGTATAGACTTCTATGTCTATGGTCTAAGTATGGAATCAGGTCTATGGGGTATGGAATGTATAGACTTCTATGGTCTATGGAATGTATATGTATGGAATCAGGTATGGAATGTATAGAAATCTGGTATGGAATTATGGAATCTGGTATGGGAATGTATAGACTTCATGGTCTAAGTATGGAATCAGGTATGGAATGTATAGACTTCTATGGTCTAAGTATGGAATCAGGTATGGAATGTATAGACTTCTATGGTCTAAGTATGGAATCAGGTATGGAATGTATATGTCTTCTATGGTCTATATGGTCTAAGTATGGAATCAGGTATGGAATGTATAGACTTCTATGGTCTAAGTCAGGAATCAGGTATGGAATGTATAGTCTTCTATGGTCTAAGTATGGAATCAGGTATGGAATGTATAGATTTCTATTGTCTAAGTATGGAATCAGGTATGGAATGTATAGTATATGACTCTAAGTATGGAATCTATGGAATGTATAGAATCAGGTATGGAATGTATGGAATGTATAGACTTCTATGGTCTAAGTATGGAATCAGGTATGGAATGTATAGACTTATGGAATCAGGTATGGTGTATAGACTAATGGTCTATGGAATCAGGTATGGAATGTATAGACTTCTATGGTCTAAGTGTATAGTCTTCTATATGGTCTAAGTATGGAATCTGGTATGGAATATATGGAATCTAAGGTCATATGGAATGTATAGACTTCTATGGTCTAAGTATGGAATCAGGAATGTATAGACTTCTATGGTCTAAGTATGGAATCAGGTGGAATATAGACTTCTATGGTCTAAGTAATGGAATCAGGAATGGAATGTATAGACTTCTATGGTCTAAGTATGGTCTAAGTATGGAATCAGGTATGGAATGTATAGAATTCTATGGTCTAAGTATGGAATCATGGAATGTATAGACTTCTATGGAATGTCATATGGAATGTATAGACTTCTATGGTCTAAGTATGGAATCAGGTATGGAATGTATAGACTTCTATGGTCTAAGTATGGAATCAGGTATGAATTCTATGGTCTAAGTATGGAATCAGGTATGGAATGTATAGACTTCTATGGTCTAAAGTATGGAATCAGGTATGGAATGTATAGACTTCTATGGTCTAAGTTCTGGAATCAGGTATGGAATGTATAGACTTCTATGGTCTAAGTATGGAATCAGGTATGGAATGTATAGACTTCTATGGTCTAAGTATGGAATCAGGTATGGAATGGAATCTATGGTCTAAGTATGGAATCAGGTATGGAATATAGACTTCTATGGTCTAAATCAGGTATGGAATTTTCTATGGTCTAAGTATGATTGATGGAATGTATAGATGCTTACAATAATTGTGTTTTGTCTTCATGCTGGATTTGTAGGAACCGAGGTTTTAATTAAGATTTATTTACTCTGTCACAAATGGTTAATTGTAATGGTGATATTAGCCGTTTCCTTATAAGGAAATATTCAGAATTCAATGAGCGAACAGACAGTGATATCGACGGTTGGAATTTCTAAAATTTTCCTCTTGAAACTGTTTTTCAGGAAAATAAGTTTCGCACCTGCACGAAATGAGGTCGCACTTCCAAGTACTTAGGATGTTTCCTTCCTAACCCTTTGCTTGAAGTAGTGGGGAATATCAGCATCTTGATTATTTCATTAGTTTCACTTCGGGTTACAAATGATATCCATTTAACATCGATCTATATTTCTGAGATGAGATGAGATATTGTATTTGTTTACATTATTTATATTGTTCGAAATGCTGTCTTCATCTTCACAACGTTTCGGCCCTTGCACACTCCGGCCCTCTTCAGGTGATTGGAATTTTGGACAAATTGTTCTAGTTCCACGTGCCATGCCTCTTTCGGATATCTCAGTTATTTCCTTTTAACTTAACTCTCCAGGTTTTTTCTTTTTTTTTTTTTTTTGGTATTGTTTTCACAGCTCTTTGGGTTTAGTCACGGGATCTAACCAACGCCTTTATCCCCTGGGCCATGTGTTTGCGGAAGAGGCATGGCACGTGGAAATAGAACAATCTACTCTCAGGTGTACGAAATAAAGGGTTCAGTTCGAAATTCCAATCACATGAAGAAGGCTGGAGCGTACAACGGTTGTAAAAAAACGTCGTCATGTTCTCGAGGGTTCGACCGTTGTACGCTCCAGCCTTCCTACAAAAGTTAGTGTGGGGGTGGTAGCAACTCTACAATATGAACAAAAACAAAGCAAGAAGAAAGGATTAAACATCAACTGTAAGAATCAAATAAGCAAAATGTTGCATTACCCCCCCCCCCCCTTCTTGTTCTGGGGGTCTCTTGGTTGACGGGATCGATTCCACAACAAAGATGCATTCTTCTCTCTCAGTTTTTCTTCCGGTCGTGTGTCGAAATGTTTTTGGAGTCCGGAGATGAAAAAAACATCAATTTGAAAACTTAACTATTTTACTACACACGTCGACGAGTATATTTTTAACAAGATAGTTTGGTCGCACCTTGAAATCACTCTCTATCTCTCTAACCTTCCCAAGTTCAGCTCAGCCAATCAAAATCGACATTCCTATTTAGTCTACCATCTGACCTTAAAGGTCAGCCTTAAAAGTTGTGAGGCAAAATATACTGCCACTAACAAAAATAATAGTTTGCAATTATTATTTAACACAAATTACAAATTGGATATGCTAAAATCAAGCAGGTACAGAAATTTAAATATCTGGGGAGTGTTCTAACAGAAAACGGAAAGTGAGACATTGAAATCTGTATTGGAATGGCCAAAGATTCATTCCAAAAGATAAGCAGAGTATTAAGAGACATAAAAAATTCATTAGAAACAAAGAAAAGGGTACTGAACTGTTACACGATATCTGTCCTTCTGTATGGCAGTGAATGCTGGACAACCTCTTCAAAGATGAAGAGGAGACTTGAAGCAATTTGGTTCTACAGAAAGATGCTGAAAATACCATAGACCTAACATGTGGGCAAAGACGAAGTTTAAGAGAAAATGGAAACGAAACACAACCCATCAGGAAGAGACAGTAGATATTTATAGGCACATAATGAGAAAAAAGGGCTTGGAAAATCTGATCCTCAAAAGACAAGAAGAGGGAGAAGTGTAACAAAAATGTGGTACTACAGAAAGATGCTCGGGATACCATATACTGAATATGTGAGCAACGACGAAGTTTTAGAGTAAATGGAAACAAAACGAAAACCTACAGTTAACATCCGGAAGAGACAGTTAACATTTCCTAATGAGGAAAGAAGGTTTGGAAAATCTGATCCTCACAGGACAGATTGAAAGTAAGAGGGACATAGGAAAACAACCTATTATCGACTTAGTGAGCTTGATTAAATGGATAGCGGAAAAGGGTTTAAGAGAGATAACAAAAAAAATTATTAAAATCTACGAAGAATAGGTAATTGTGGAGAGCCATGATCGCCTGCGTCCTGAAGTGACACGGCACACAAAGAAGCAGAAGTGTGTCTCTTAATGGCCATCAGGACGCGGCCGGACGTCTGATATTTTCATCTCCTGAGCATACCGCTCGACTTTATTTATTGACATTCGGTGTTCGTTGCTGCTTTTCCTACACAGTGAACTCCCCGAT